CATTTTCTGTCGTTCGAATCCTCATACCCTCACTAGATACGATAAAAGACATCATAATGGAACAAGCCCAAGACTTTTATCCGCTTTGTCGAGCCTGGAAAGAGACCGGATATCTACTCTTACCGGCGTCGTTCTACAATCCCTCAACTTGGCTTCTCTTCCATACATTCCACGACGGAACCACAGTACAGATACGCACCCACAACTTCAACAAAACTTACAAGAACTGGCCCTGGGCCACCGACGAAGAAAAGAAACATTTCGAGGGGACGTTCGTCGATCTCAGTGGACAGGGATTGGGTGACAGCAAAACATGGGTCAAATATGATATGACAATAAAGGAGGCCAAGTCAATGGGTTTCGAAATCTCAAGATAATTCTGAGAATAGGGGCTGAAGGGAGTGAAGAGTTGCAAGGGGAGGCTGGCTGTCGCGACGGTAGGTATCTAAGCATACTCAGATAGTTTTGCCGTTGAGGCATAGATCTATACGCAACATATCAACCGATTTCGATCCCATATGGCAGCGCACTGTGACGGGGCCAGACTTCTTTGGCTCTAGCCCGTTGCATAGCGTCACCCTAAGAACAATGGAAATTCCTGATCCCTTTATATTGGACACATGAACGAGAGCTCATCTAGATGACCTATCCTAGTATAGCGGTGTCAATTGGAATTTTGTTACACCCAATCTAGCCCACCTTGTTGGCATGTCTAGATACACTATATTAGTCCATAATAACATAATCCACGTCATGGATGGAAACCTTGAACACTTACGTAGAAGGGGGGGCCTCGTCGCATAGACTGCTCTGTCGCAGATAGGCAGTCAATGGCCATGTCGAAATTTTCACTTAAGAGCGCTTTCACGGCATTAATAAGCTTCACTTTAGCTTGTTTATCTTCACTCAATGCCATCGAGTTTTCGAGACACCACTGCAGTAGTTTCCCTAATGCCTTTGCATCTCCAGGATATCCTGGGAGCTCCATGTCGATATCGATGAGCATTAGACGCGGCTTGGAAGCCGTTGTTGAAGGCTGAAGGAGCGTGTTCCACGGCCTTATGTCACCCTGGAAAAGCTCGTAATTCCGAAGCTCTCGAACGCCTCGGACTAGGTCTTGAAGTTGTTGAAGTGTAATGGGTAGGTTGCCTCCACTATTCTTTGCCAAGATACCCAAATCCTCGCCGGCATAAGGCATGAGGATGCCCACAACTGTGTTGGGTTTTCCGGGTTGCCAATCGGCCACAACAACGGCGAGAATGGGAACGAGACAGAAGCGTCTGGACATTTCCGAATTGACTTGGTTCACTGGTATCTGTGCCTTGTTTATAAGATCTTTTCGTTTTTCGATTTCGAGCTCAATCGCACCCACATCGGTATCGGTTTCAATGTACTTCAGAACGCAGTCTTGACCTTTCCAAGAGCATCGGTAAACTCTGTGACCCAATGGCTGCGGGCTTTTTATGTCCAACGCTGTGGGCTGGAATATGTCGGTTCTGTGACCGTAAAAGAGCACCCTACTGCGCGGCCATATTCGAATAGTGTACGAGTTATTCTGGCAGTCCGTCTCATCCGCACTCCATTCATGGTCCGGATCTTCCCTAATGTCAACGTAACTACGTCTGAGATGTTCTTCAATTATGCATGATAGCCACGTTATATCCGTTGTCTTTTCTTCAGCCCCGCGACAGGTTACTTCGACTTCTACTCCATGCCAATCGTGGTTGGCTGTATCGTACACCACCGCAGAGCACTTCCCCCCAGGTCTTGCTATGTGGCCGTGTATTGCAATTTTTGGGGCGCTTCGGCTCGACTCCATGTCCGCGAATTTTTTCGTGAAGATGACTAGCCGGGCGTGGACGGAGAGTGATAGATGACGAAATCCGTGTCAGCAAATAAATAGAAAAGCTGCGTAGCAAAAACTGCGGTTGACCGGAGTAGGCGCTATGAGAAGCGAGAAACTAATAAAAGGAACAAACTAATAGATTGATATTGTATGTTTTTGCAAACAGTGTGATATATCTCTTTAGATTGCGATCTTTCTCGGAAGGGGATGTGCTGCAATTTATACCTTGATGCCCCCAAGTCCAATGTCCTCCGCTCAACCACATGCTACAAGAAACACAGAGTTAAGTGCAAATTAAAAACACTTCCAAGAAGTAAGGGATGCGGTCAGTTATATCTGCACCTTCCCGTCTGATGCTTTGCTACCCGAATTCAGACCCTCGTAAACCAAGTCATGAACCTCACGCCCCCTTGTCTACAGCTAAAGAGACGCTACGAAAAGTGACGTCCATGCGGGCAGTCCCGCCGTATTCTTCCAAGATAGTTGTTGTCACATAGTTTGAGCCGCCAAAGGTCACACAGACGCTTGCATGAATGTGAAGGTGTGACAGTGCTAGTTGTCACTTGTCAAATCATTTCCTCACTTGAGTCCTCATTCGCGAGTCTTACACACAACCAGATGGTTTTTGGTCTGAGCAGACTTTTAAGGCGTTACATTGATACAAAACTACATCCCCCCTGTGCTGTATTGCTCATGCAGACCGCTTATTGCCCGTATAATGATACAAACTCGTGGAGCAGGTTGTCGACGCGAGACTATAGCCGTATGAAACCAAGAAGACAACGGTACATCCATGTAGATGCAAGCGGAATATCTAGACTAGGCGAGTCCATTTTATGCCCTTTTCATTACATCAAATGCGTCCTCTGCAACCGGCAATGTTACCTCGACAGCTTCATAGAACAAGCTGTGTGCAAATACCTACAGAGGTCGACGCGCCAGCTCAGCGATCATCTTCATTCCAATTCTGATGTGATTGTCATTCTAGCTTATATTCCTGGTTTTTCTATTCTTAGCCCGCATGAGGCTTCACTGGTCGTCTGTATTTGTCAACAAGGTGATGATGCATACTGCTAATCTTGTCTACGCCCTCGAGTTACCTCAGCCTCGGAGGCTCCTCATGTGGAATGTGGCAGGCAAGGATATCTCCATAACTTCCACCATAGGACCCAAATTGAGTTAATGTCCATGGTTGTAAGGCAGTCGGGAACCGGGTCTATAAACTTGAGCGTCCTCTCAACTAGTAATATGCAAATAGATCTTTGATTCGTATCGGAGTATATGGCCGTCAACTGATACAAACAAAATCGTTCTCTAAAAAGATGTTAGTATTTTCCCTTGCTCCCATGAGTTCTAAGAGTGAATGGAAAATTACGTCGGAAATGCCCAACGTCTGTTGGCTGGTTCGAATTCTTGTATCATCTTAATGTATGACTCCAGAGACGTGAAGCGGCTTTGTTGGGGGTTTACACAAAGGTCGTGCGTATTTATATAGCGTTTTTTTAGCATTACAAGAGGAGTGGGTACTTCGACAAGCTCGAGAGGCAGACACTCAAGCTGAGGCCGTGGAATTGAGGTAAGCCGTGGTGAAATATACGCGACTCGGAGTTCGAAAAAGGCTCCAGCATTTGTGCCAAATTTTTGTACGATATCGTCTTTGGATGGTAACGGCAGGTATTTGTATAAAGATGGTGGAACTGGATTCATGTCTGTGTGAATAGGATACTCGCTATTGGTGTCAGTTGGGTTTATCTGTGGCAAGGAATAGGGGAACGCGAAAAAGGGAATTTACCTAATAATAGAGCAGCAACACCAGAGTGCAACGATATCGGCGAAATGATCTTCAAGGCGAGAATTTTCCCACTGAAACCTGCTAAATTATCAGTCTTTGAATCCTCATGTCGGGTGCGATTTCAGGACTACCGAGAAGAGGACCCTAAAGCAACTGCTTTGGTGATGTGTTCATTCGCAAAGCCATGAAATCCGCGACGCTTCCAGTACAGTGCCAAGAGTGCATGGGTTTGTATAGTTCGCCTATAGCGAAGACCGAATTGGAGCTCTTGAATATCCTGGCTATGAAATGGATTCATAGTATCCGCCAAATCTATGATTACCAACATTGATAGTCGATCGTTGTCGGAGCCCTGGCCAGCAAGATATTTCTGTCGCATGGCCAATACTTCATCCGGTGTAAAGATGGGCCATTCAGGAAGGATGTTTCCCAGATACATATCTATTCGACTGCAGGAGAATCTTTGATACGTTTGCTGATATGACTGCCCGGATACATATCCATCCGGCTGTGGTGTCACTCCGGCTGGGCATGTTGGGTCCGAATCGCCAATAAAGAGTGTGCTGTCTTTGTCAGACATTTTTGAAGAGCAAAAGACAAATTAAATCAACTAAGATGTACGTTGAATGGGCAAAAAAACGGATAGTTGGATTTGAACGTGCGGGAACTTGTAATTATTTATATTTCGGGAAAGTTCTCATTGCGACCAACATGTGCTCTCTTCAGTTCGTTCCTGCACTCAACGAGCGCCAATTTAATATTGCGTTGTTGCCACCGTCTTGCCCGCATATGCATGACTTCGTATGTGGAAATTAAACGCATGTATAGAGACAAAAGATGTGCATGCAAAGAAGCACACAAAAGACGATCAAATCAAACTGTTATAAAGTGCGACATGTACGACTTGATATGTATATTTTACCTGACAATAGGTTCACACCAGTGGTAGTCCTGAATTAGTCTTGAGTACATTCTTGCGAGGCGGGTATTCCTACTCTGCAGGGCAAGTTAGCTTCAGATGAACTTATGCTGGACGGAATATGCGGTATTGAGGAGTACAAAAAGCTAGAAGAATAGCACATACAAACACCGTGACATATAGCAGTTACCTATTCTAACTAGCTGTCTGTGTCGACGCCGCTAATCTACACCTCCCTCCATTCCCATACAGCTTGACCAAATTAGTGATGCACAAAAACGGGTTCTGCGACTCCTCGGGTGTTCGAAGGCTCGTTTCTCAAGTGTTTCTTTTGCGGACCGCGATCGGCTCGTCGTTCCCTTTTATTTCCCTCGTGAAGAGTCCCCAGCACGACTGCCTAATCAAGCCGGTTTCGAGGTCTCGGAAATGTCATGATATGTCGATTAGTTGTTGTCATTACTCTCATTACTCTTAGCCGAAAACTGCTTAGTGTTCTTGTCCCAGTGTAGTCTTCTTTTCCTCATTGCCATGCTATAACCCAGCCATAAGATTCTTTCGCAACGTTTACTAACCGTTGACGCAGGCTCAAAGTTCTTTTCTTCATCATCAATCGCCGTATTATCAAACCAGTTCTTCGGGAAATAGGTTCCAGTATAGATTAAACCACGCATAGCATAGTCTTCGGGAAGAGGATGCGCCTTACCAACTTCGGGCCACGGAATTTCCGGAGTATCTAACCGTGGCGTATACTCGCTGGTCCGTAACAGATAGTTAAGTAGTAAAGCAGTCTGTTCCCATGGGAGGGAGCCCTCCAAGTACTGTCTCCCTACGTCAAAATCCATCATAAACCAGTAGAATACTAGGAGGGTATGAAGGCAGGGAAACGTGTTCTTGTCACCCCACCGAGCAATAACAATCTCATACGTGCGAGCTGTAAATCTCACCGCCGTTTTGAATGCGTCAGTCAGCACCGGATCCGGAAGCATTATAGTGTCGTCTGTTTGTTGACTCTTCAAAACGGCATTCATAAGGACATTTGACGCGTCTCCAAAACTTAGGAGCAGACAGCTTAATGAGATGCCAATGAAATACCTAGCCTAGTTAGCTTGTTGCAGATCTTACGTTATTACAGTGACGTCTCCTACCCAGATTCAAGCCAATTTCCATGTTCTCTTCCAATGCGATTATCTAGAAGTTCCAGAAATTGCTTCATCGAGGGCTCGAGCTGATCCTCATGCGTGCCAGAGAAGAGTATGCCATGAACTCGCACAAAAGCTACATCAACTGGCTCCAGACGTTGAGAAGCGCTTGGATTTGCATTCAAGAGGGGATCAAATAGCGTCATGACGCTATCCCTAGCGCTCGGGAATGGCACTGGAACGCAGAGAGATTTAGCATAATAGTATAACTGTTGCAGGGCATTTGGTCGTGCCAAAATCGCTAGGTGGTGATAAAGTCGTCCAGTCATTGGTATCTTATCCGAAGCCTTGGTATACCAGAATCTTGATACACCAGTCCAAATTTCTCGATCTCGGATATCATCATCTTCAACTGCCATCCTGTAACGCCCTAAATCACCAAGACACTCTATCCACGTATCTTCAAACGTGGGAACTGTCTCATATAGCAATGCCATCATGGTATACGCGATACAAATGAAGGTGAGCATATGCTCGAGCGAGCCAGGCAGTTTCCGCCTTAGAAGCTCTAAAAACGAGTGTATACCATGACGCCACATTCGTGCAGGCATAAAATACTTAGATGCAAGTCTTCGGAGCGCGGCGCTCGCCGATGGGTGCTGGGATGCCAATAGAAAGTCATGATGCTCATGGAGAAGTGACCAATGAAGGGAAATTAAGGTGAAGGGAAATAAATGCATGATATTGCTCTTGACTTAGGTCAGTCTCCTTCTGTGTGCTATCATATTCAATACACTTGCTCTCGAGCAAAACCAGTCCGGCATAGATGCCTTGGACTTCGGCGGCAAGCTGGTCTGAAGATATGGACCGAGTATCTGGTTGAAGAAGCATTTCCGATGCCGCTGCGCCGGCATTGGAAGACTGTTTCGGTTGGCCATGATATTGTCCTGGATTGCGCTGGCCTTTATGCTGGCCATGTCTTGTCTGTGTCTTCCGTGGCCGTTGGTTCGAACCCGTCTTTAGGGTATCATCGGCAGTCCAGAGTTGACGACCAGTCGGCTTCTTTCTGCTTGTGAAGTTATCATCTCTCTCGCTGGGTCTGGCACGACTCGCTCCAAGAGTCGATGGGGATGAGCCGCGTGCAGTTTTGCGTTGATGCTGGACCCAAGCATCTTGGAAATTGTCCATTTCCAATGAGAGTCTGCTTTGACAGTCTAAAGGATATATGTAGGTTTGTGGCCGCGGGTCTGCACTCGGAAGTGTTGAAAGTTTTGTGCGAGAATGACAACTGAACGGGTGAGGGACTTCAGATTTTGAAAGCACACAGTTCCGGATGGCTGCTCTTATGCTTGCTCAGTTGACACCGGGTTCCTATTGAAAGCGGTTCGCACGAAGCAATGGACGCCTTTTTAGTCGCCTTGCGACCGACTCACCCAGCAGGAGTAGTGCTCTGATAACTTTGTACTATGGGGGAGCACGGCTTGTCTCGTGTTGGGACCCTCCCGGGCCAGCGAGAGCCGTGGCCATCGCAAGGCAGTACGTGGCGTTGGACCGAATAACGGGCAAGGCCATTGTGCGGGAAGGGTCCGGCGACTTGGAATTGGCAGTGCCACTGGGTGCGTGGTAATTGTGACTTGTCGGTTCGACAGTTGTGCTTTTCGACATGTGTTGGGAGTGGACGGTCATTTCCTGAAACATCACAGAATCACCGAGCAGAGGGTTGCGGCAACCCCCCCCCCCCCCCACACCCCCCCACCCCCCCCCCCCCCCAAGCCCCCCCGTTCCCTGTCTGTATGCCCGACACCCTCATGTACCGATACAGTCCACCGAATGGACGAAAATGGAGGGTGAAATACCAAGGGCTGCGCAGGGCTTCCCACAGCCGTCTGTATTTTTGTGCCGGGATGTCAGACTGCGCTTCCTCTTAGGCCAACAGAGAGGAGACACCACCAGGGACCCTGCAACAAGCCAGTTGTCTTGCATGGTGCAAATCCACTCTCTGATAAGCGCACGCACGCCGGGTGTCTTGTTAATCTTAGGGAGGCGGACTGGCGTGCAAGGCTCTGAAAGGGCGACTTGGAGTTCATGAGAGGCCATTAATGTTCAGTCTCTGCTGCAGGGGTCTGAATTCCTCGATGATCCATCCTTGTCTTGTGGAGATGCATTTGATATTCGGGTAGTGCAAGCGCTACCAGCAAGTCGGCAGTCATGGCTTTCAGCTTAGCACAGTTTGCTCTCCTTTCTTGGATTCTGCCTCGCCAAGGGCAGGGCTCGTGGGCGCCTCGGAGCTCGTTGACAGACTCATGAGGTTTTACAGTGGTATTAATACTCATTAACTAGAGAAGGTATAATAATACATAGTCGGCAATGGCATTGCAGAAGTAACTAGTTACGTCTGTTTTGATGTTGTGCTGGGACGAAACGGCCAAGCTTCAGAGCATTACCCCTGAATTACAAACAGACATAGGAACACATCATCGAACTACTCCCTCCATCCATGGTTACGGGAGCATGCGGGAGAGCACAAAGTTCGAGCCAGTCCGCGACTTCTTGCTCTAACGTCATCGAAACGCCTGCATCGCCGTACCAGACTATCGTCCGCTGTGTTTCTCCTTTCGGAGTTCCGTGAATAGTTGTATGGTTATTATTCAGGGCAGCTAGAGACTCAAAAAAAGCGGCAATCGAGTGACGGTCGAGCTGGACATCTGTTAAGCGTACGCGTTTGAGTGTCGTCTTATTTCTTTGAAGAAGTCCACGAGACGAACCAACTTGTCTGCAAACCCCTGGATTTCCAGAAATTGCAAACAGACGAACGCTGCTTCCGGCAAAATGCTTCCACAGTCTGCAGGATACTCTGTATTAAATCCGCCTTCAATCGTAAAAGCCAATAGTAGCTCCTCCAGCGTGGTCGTTGTCGCGTACAGCAAGGTCTGTATGCTCTCGGAGGCAATACCCCTAGTCAGAACAGCCTTCTCATCCGCTGAGTCTGTCCAGGCATTCCAGTATGCCGTGCCAACGTCGAAGTGCAGCCACAACGAAGACAAAAATGGCACACGAAGCAGCACATCCAACTTTCCCACCGTACGGCAGTGCGAGGAAAATGGGTGCGAAGGACCTGGGACATAACTGTGAGGCACGAAGTTGACGTATATTCGTTTCGTGGAGCAGGTAGTGCATCAAGGCGTTATCGAAGATGTTATGGGCCTGGAGAATCTTGGATTCGTCTCTCATAGATCTGGAAAAAGGAATAAGGCGATTGTTCACAAAGAAAGTAAGAGTTCCTTCGGAAGCTCTGACTCGA